GATGTTTACAAGATGTCTACCACGTTTGAACTCAATATGTGAGCCATGAACTTCTAGCTCACTGGTAACTAATCGGAATAAAGTTCTACCAAGAGATTATGAACAATTTATACTCCCTTGGTTCTATTAAAGACAACAAAACAAAAAAAAAGATGGCAAAGGGAAACACTCTTTTCACATTTTCGCAGGCTATCATTAAAGCAGGTTTAGAAAATTTTCGCAATTCATATGCTGCTACCAAAGACCTAGATGGGTTCAGAGAAAAATCATTTAAGTCTAGATTTTGGATGCAATCGATGATTGTGGCAACTTCACCCGTTTGATTCAACTGCATGTTAGTCGAAGTTGTCATTTGTTTCAGTATTAACCGTAGTTTACTATTTTATTGAATGCCAAAAATTCGCAGCATGATTCATAATTTTACATAAGTTAATAAGGTGTAAGTGAAAGATTACTTTTAAATCTATTTTTTTATGGTAATAGTGATTTGAAAAAACTAAAAACACGAAAGAGTGTGTGGCTGGATATCTGAATGAACTAATTACATCTGGCTTAGCAGAGACTTTGTGTTCTCCTTTGATACATGAAAATTCTTGCGTGTAATTTCCCTCTCTTTTTTAACCTATTTCATTTTTTTGTCTTATTAATTTGGCATAAATAATGCACCATTTCATTATAATTATTGATATTACTTTAGAGTGAATTAGCAGACAATTAGAGTCACACAAAACAGACGCGTCGTCCGACTATATCCTTCACGCATAACGGACCTGCAATCGTGGACTCAACGATGGAGTCTGCGAATCATATTCACATTCGTTGATTTTAAAATACCTTTTCGGAAGGATAAACCGATCCTCTAGCTGTATCAAGTAAAAGTTGCTTATGAGCTTCTTTGATATAATAACTATGTAATTTGAAACTAAGAATTATAATTCCCTTGAAGTTAAGTAAAATAAAAATATTCCATTGCCTAAGTTGATGAGACATCGTAGACACTATGAAAATAAAGATCATGATCACAGCTTCGATCTTAGTATTACGACAAAAACTTGGTCTGAAAAGTGCGGGTTTCGTTGGCCGTGTTTAATATCTTTTGTTGTTCTTTATTTGAAATCATCCTCGCTCCTTCTTTCTGGACTTATTATCATGAATTATTTCATCAAAGGGTCAGTTTTAAAGCTTGGAATCTATGATTTTTACAAGATAACCTGTAGTGCTTAAGTTTGACATCAGTTCCCCCTGCTATATTATCTAATATGACCCACACTGAATTCAAGCTTACGTACGAACATGTCAAAGTCAAGTGTGTTCTCTTTTTTTTTTCTTTCTTTTTGGCAATCAGTTTCAGTGGGTGGTTAAGACAAGTTTTCACGTGGTAGAATTTGACATGAAGAGCGTCAGAGGTAGACAAAAAAAGTTCAGAATGCATATCTCGAGAAGAGAAGGCGTGGTGATCAAACATCAATAACAACATTTGCGTTTGCTGTCTTTGTTCTATGGACGATAAATAAGTTGGATACTTTACTGTAGATTTAGCTAATATTTATTCTTTACATGCCGAAACAATTTCTAATGAAAAATTATCGAGAAAAAATTAAAACAGCCAATTAGAAAATAGAGTAAGCAAATCCCCTTCTACCTACAAAACGGCCCCAACCTAAAGAAAGTATAGAAAATCGGGAGACAAGGGCCCTAAATATTATGAATTTTCAAAATTTATTTTTTTCTTGAATATTTTCAACTTATTGCTCTCTTAATCAGTCATTTGCTGTATTGTGTTTATCTATTCTATTCACAAAAATTAATGTTATTTCCAATTACTCTTAATTTAAAGTTAAAAATATCTCAACATTGAATGCTTGCCTAATTAAGGTGTTCTTTCGGGAGTTATTGTGGTACTTATCCAATTCCCCCAGGCTGTCCCTATCCCTCCCATTTTATCAGGCCCCATTCCGTACGGTTTCAAAGGGCAGACACGGATCGACTTACATTAACGACAGGTAGCATTTCTACGGCGGCAATAAGAGATCTAAGCAAAATCACCTCTCTCTAATTTTGTGCTCTCGACCAATTCGTTCAGTTATCTGACTTACAGTTTATCCCATCTTGTTGATGACAAATATTGATTAGATTAAACCCAAAATGCACTAATCTACTGGTTATGTAACGAAGCACTATAATTCACCAGATACTTTTTTGCTGTACTTTGGAATATTTATGTCAAGGGATATTGGGATATTTCATGTTATGCAAAGCTACTTTGTGCAATATTTCTATGTTGACAGAAACGGTTTTCACCCTTAACCTGCAAACCGCAGTTGAAGTAAATGTGTTTTTTTAATTCTGTTAGCATAAAAATGAATGACTTTAGTGAGTGACAAACAAACTCACGTACGTGCATTAAATGTTTTGTTGTTCAAATATTCCTTTCATACATGCGGCTATATTTATATATGTTTTCAAAATTTATTTAGTTATCTTCTGAGGTAGGCGGCTTGCTTCACGAGGTCTCTTATTAACAAACAGACCTCATGCTGAGAGAGACTTGACCGAATTTAAAACTCAAACATTCAAAGTGCACTTTTATTACTTACTGTAAGCTAATAAAGATATTTACCTTGTATGTCAAGAAATTTAGGAAAATAGTTTCCTAAATTTTGGTTCCCTTATCCAGTGAATAAGACAGTTGAATTCAAGACGCGCTTTCTTCGTTGAATAACTAGCCCCCCCAATGAGAAGGGCTTTACCCTTCTAACTGCCAAGGCCGGCATTTACAGACCTTTGGACTCTGAGCAAAGAGTAAATAATGAAGATATATTGTATAATTAGAAGCTAGAAAAAAAATTGCCATACTTTTCATCAAAGTGCTGTTTTCCAAAGTGGATTTTAGTTTTTATAAATCATCTTTATTAACGGTTTTAAATCATAGATAGAACACGTTCGTCTTTCACAATTGGTTGGTTTCTGCCCTCCAGCGGTTTAAATTTCATAGTTATTCCATTTTGAAAGATATATGATCGATGACTTTGATAAGCATATTTCGCTCGCGGACATCTATTATACCATTTTTGCTACAAAACACATATCTTTTGTGGCGTGTTGTTCTGTTAATCAGAACCGGAAATTCATAATTGCAAAGTAAAGAGTGACTGTTTAGAAAATAGCACTTGTTACATGGACTTCAAATGATCATTTAGCTTCTGCAATGAGCTCAGCTGCGCTGAAGTGGATTCGCGTGCCTTACAAGACACAGCGCGGTCGCTTTGCATCATAAATTCTCTCAAACTAAAAAGATGGATTAAAAATGTCAATTGCAAGTTTGCATCGTCTCTGAGCTTGGAATGACCTCATTTTTGCACGATTCGACGATTAATACCTCTCAGAGGACCACCTTTTAGAAACATACGTGATTAAGAAAATTCGCGTGCAGGAGCGAAAAAGTTTGCGGTGTCGGCGAAAACGGTTCAGAAATCAACAACAATAGAATAACACAACGATAAACCACAAGTCCCTGATAATTAAATTCTAAACATGTAAGTGCTGAACATTCTTTTTCTGATAAAAGTTTTCAAAGAACACGACAGCTGTGGCAAGAATGAGACGAAAATGGAAATTACTTCAAATTTAACGGTTCTTTTTATATTGATCATCTGTCGATACTTATAACATCATCTAAAAAAATTTGAAGCTAATATTTTAAATAAGTTTATTAAATTATTATGATCCTTGCATCATCATTTATTTCACTGGTATCTTCTGATAAAAGGTTTCAGGAGTAATAGAAGTGTTAACATTACCTAAAATCGAGTTTCCTGTGGTTGCTTATATTCTACACCCCCTTGTGAGAAAATATTGTCTTGCGTCTCAGCCTATGAAACTTCATTCCATTACATGGAGAACGTGGTAAAATTTAATTATATCGATCTTAATTTAATCAAGAGTAATCTCGATTATGTCAAAAACCTTTTGTCTCTCTAAAATATGGTCATCAACGAAAGAAGAAATATTTCTGAGTAACTGAAATCTTTAGTGTTCTCTGGCAGTCTTTATAATTGTTTCACAATTTTATCGACTGTTAGAATTGTTTCACAAAAAAATTGTTCTACTATGATCAAATTTACTTTCGTGATTTGCTGTTTGTCGGACCTTCTGTAACATCTAGAGGTCCAATCATCGAGAATGTTCGGAAGATGGAACAATTTTTTTTTAGATCTAAATATTATAGATATATATTACTCTTCGTGACTGACGTCATTGTCTTAACAAAGGAGCGGCAAAGAAAAAGAGATTCACTAATGATGTTATAGAGTAGTTGACTTTATTTCGCTTTGATTTACGATTTATATACATTTGATATGTTCAACTAATATTCATTGGCAAATCTTTATATATAGATATGGCATATCTTTGTATTTTTACATAAGTTCTCTGCAGTCTATTTGAAAAATATTGTTAGGTTGTCAAGATTTGTAGGTTCAGAAATTAAGAAGGAATGTAAACAAAAAGCTTTGAGTTCCCAGAAGAGCTTTTGTCCAGTTGTAGTATTCCTGTGTTCTGTGTTGTCTTTGCACACCTGCATCAAAACGTTTCGTTGTAATGCCGACCCAGTGATCCATCTTAACTGATGGGGCGCATGTCTGATGTCCATGGGGTTACCACCCTTTTGTTCGAAACACAATACACAGAGACAGTGACTAATGACTGTGCTTCCTTCATATCAAAGACAACTCGACGGAACAGCTAGATCAACTGAAAGTAACAACAGGCTGACAGCCTAAATGAAAAGAAATGATGGAATATTCTAATAAACAATGTTGCCGAGTTTTACACCGCCAAGCCTCACTCGGTTTCCCATATAGTGCACAGAAATGATCTTGATGCGTTCCATTTGGCTGGGTGGCAGATTGTGGTTCTTGTGTTATCTCGTTGTTCACGATGTGGACCTGTTAATGATCTTCCTTAGGGGCTAAGCTGGAGCGAAAATCCAAACTTGTCGACCAAAGGTATAGATTTTCTTTGTAAAGGCGCAGTTTTTGTACTTGGTAGTTTTTTTTTTTAAAGTGCCATTTCCTTTCTAATCCCTTTGGTTTTGTTCAGCTCTTTGTATGTTTTGTTTTGATAAGATTTTATCAGATGTTCACTTCAGCTTAAAATGCTCTTCAATTAGGGGGACGCTTTTGCTGCTCTGGCTATGGAAACTCAAAAATTATTTGCCTGTGAGAAATAGTCTAGAAGAATAACATCATACTGTATTTTTTGTGATCTTTTGCACAGTTAAACCTTTATCAGTTGGAAGAGGTACCTTAAATCGATATATCTTCGTGTTAACTTATATGCTTTTCGAGTCAAATTCATTTAGAGTTCTGATATTTTGAAGATTAAAGCGATAGATAGTTTGGAAAATATGGAGGTGTCGCATGTTGGACAAAAATTTCTGGGGCACTTTGTTGATAGGAAGGAACACTATCTCGAAGGGACCTCTGGAAACCTTGATGAAACCCAGGGTTAAATTGAGCCGCTGGTGACTCGTTTACTCCCTGTTTTCGAATAGACTCTTTAAGTTCTCTTTTCCACTTCATTCGCCGATTTTGAAACCATATTTTAATCTGTGTTTCTGTAAGTTCCAAGTTGGATGCTATTTCAATTCGTCTTGTCCTTGTAAGATATTTGCTAAAGTGGAACTCCTTCTCCAATTCAACCAGTTGTCTTTGTGTGAAGGTGAACCTCTTCTTTTGACTTGCTGTCGTTTCTTGCTTCTTGTCAGAGCTTGCTTCCTCTTTTTCCGAGACACTTGTTACTGCAGCTGCAAGAAAAACCGAAAGAAATTCCTTTTAGCACACTCGTTTACTATTCCAAATCTTGCCTTTGGGTTCTTAGGTGTCAGTTTGAAAGCATTCATGCATCAAACCAAACCGCACACAATTTCAGGTGTCAAAAAGAAATTTCCATATTTCGTTATTTAGAGCTCTTCTTCGATTACCTAAAGATCCTTACAGATTACCGATCTGTTCGAATCTACCAAACGTTTTTGGATCGATTCTATCAATATTTTGTTCAATCTCTGCTTTGGTTTCACCAAGATCAGTTTGGATGGAGAAGCAAAGTTGTGTTGGAGCCGCAATGTTTAAAGTGAATTAAACTGTTTCGGATGTGGGCGATGAGACTAGAGATAACTTGACCTTTTCATGCTTGATTCAAAAATGATGAATCGACGTAGCAAGACAAAGCGGGCTAACGCGATAATTTAGGAGAGCAATGAAGAACAAACATAAACTACAAATGAAAGGGTCGTTCTCTGAGTTTGCAAATACGAGTGCGCTCCAGAAATAATATTGAAAGTTTTCTATCTCTCTCTTTAATATGAGTTTGTGGTTTAGGTGCTAATAAACGATTTTGAGTCCGTTATTTAAAGACGTCTAGTTTAAATGAACAGGTATTAAGATGAATGCTGGTAGATCAGTGAAAAGGCTATCTCGTCTTTGTCTTGCCGCTCAAACCCGTGTCACAGGAAGAAATCTCAGAAATGCATGGAGAACACAATTAGGGTGATAGTTCTCTGATAATCGCTTCTAGTCAAACTTAAGTCCTACACAGCTAAGTTAAATATCGACAATTTATCCATCATTCTATAAATTGCATTTAAGTGATGTATGTCAAGTTTGAAAGTACTCGTGTTTAGAATGATCGATGTGGCAAGAATTTTCAATTAGTGTTCTCGACGAAATGCCTCTGTGAGTAATGGTCTAAATCAAGGCTTTTGCAGATATCTTTGTTGACCTAAATCACTACATTTAAAAGCTATTTTCTCATTTATTTCTGTATAAACTAAAATGTTTGAGAGTCGAGTAAGAATTGTATTGTTTTGACGGAGTTTGCCAAAGGTGTTGGGAAACATGGGTGGTACAAGAAATATGATGGCAGCCATGCTGCACGAGTAGAGTAGTGTTTTGAACTTCAAATGTCAGTTTGAAACACAGCACGTATTTCCACAAGTAAAGCCTAGCTCTCAACTTGATTTAATGTTTACTGGCTTTCTAGCCGGCCAAAAAACATAGTAAAACTAACATAAGCTCCGAGCAATTTTCAAAGAAGCCTGCAGGTTGTTGTTCGTTTATTACACAAAACCCCCGTGAATGTTCCTTCTGAGTATCAATTTATAGAGAATCAGTTTAAAAGATTTCGATAGGATTGCTGTCGAGTGACTCTATTTTACGTTGAGCTCACACTGAAAATGGGTGACTCATCTAAGAGTTCAATTAATACATTATATCGAAGCCAAAGTAATTACAAAAACTCACTAGTGTCAGTCAACCTCTTGAAAAATAAATTACCAATTTACAGCTTTTAATCGAAATATGCCGAGAAGGAGTTCCTGTTTTTGCGTAAATAAACAACCATAAGAGCAGGTGAAACTAACTAACTAACTCAATCAAACTAGATAAATTTTATTCTTTTCATTTTTGGTATCGATTTTTAGAATTTTGCGTTCTTTTGAAGCGACATGAAGTTTGTAATGCCTTCCTGACGTGTACTTTGATCGATGTACATTGATTAACTCGATGAATTCTGAAATCGAGTTCATTGCTTATTTTGATTTATAGATTATATTCTGTCATCTTTCCAATGGAGAGCATAATGTACTACATCAACCGCTCCTCCCTGAGGGAATGGCTGTGTTCCTTACTTCAAATCTGACCTTTGTTTTCTAGAAAGGACTTAAAATTTTTGGTCCTTCAAACGGTTAATTTCGTTACAAAACTTGAATTTTTTTGAGCTGGCATGTTTATTTGGAAAAATAATCAATATGTCTGTGTGTTACCGATTCTTGTTCATTCGTAACCATATGATTAAAATATGTTAAAACAAAATACGATCTTTCTTTTCATCAAACTAAAGAGATCAATGGGGCATGGAACTATCAAAGGTAAGGTATCATGAGCAAAGCGAATGTCGTTGTACGCTCGAAATGGTTGAAATTCGAACTTTTTAAAAATTTGCACTCTTATTGCGAGATTGGCTTCCCACAAAATCTTATGTATTTTTAAAAACAGGAATTAATTGTCAATCTGTTCGTTTTTAGTCTAAAGAAAGAGTGATGTACACCAGATTTTTATCTGTATAATTTGCGCAGCATTTAATGTGCTCGCTAGTGACTAAACATACAAACTAATATGTAATGATGTAGAAACATGGCGGTAAACTAGTTGAGTGACAACTGTAAGTATTGTATCCATTGCAAGCAGGGGTTTTACTGCATGCAAAAACCATATTCGTTCTCATAATGTCCGACTTCGACACTTAAATCATCTTTTACCTTTTCTTTTCGTAAACATCCATCGAAAATTAGCAGTTTGCCAACGTTTCTTCTCCACGTTCTGCTGCCTTGAGCTGTCAGTGGAAGAGGCTGGTATTTGTGGGGAGGCAAGTGAGGAAGATGGCGCGATCGGCAGCTCTCTACTAGCCATTGGTATTGGTATGGGAGCCAGTGGATGAGAAAACGGAATGAAGCTTTGAGGCGAAGTGTCAAAGGCACCTCTACCGTGTGCTGTTGCCGGCGGATGTCGAAGTGGCATCGTACGTCCAAAATCAAGCCCGTGGTAATGCGGCATGGCGGTCGTCAAGTGTGGAGTAGGCATCCTACGGCGCCAGTCGTCCATCATATCGTCGATTTTCTACCGTACGTTCCAACTGCTGCGGCAAGTCTTGGCTGAAATTGATGAATTTGGAAATGGACCGTGATGAGTAAAACTTATAGGCTGGGGCGGGCTCTGCTCTTTGTGGTCAAATTATGGATTAATCGAATCAGCGATCGAGATTAGTACACTGGGACCAGCGCACCGTGAAAGAGCTGCGGCGCTCGACGTGCAGTACTGTAGTTCACTCGGAGCAACTAGGTGGAAATCTCCCAGGGCTTCAATTAGAAGCCAGGCTTTCTACTTATCTAGGAAGTGTCTGGTGAATTTGAAAATGTCGCACTGGGGTTTCTGGGCTTACAATACGACACACGCTTCATCAGTAATTAAAATTAAATCGTATTAAGTTAATCATCGTACGACGAACAATGGATTGAAGTGAATCGTCTCTTTTTTTTTTCCAGATGGAGGAACAAAACGTTCCCACACGTTTGAATTTTTTGCCCCAGGCCTGTTTCATAATTCAACACCGTTATCACTATTTTAACATCGCTAATTTTGCGGCTTCAAAATTAAGTTTTATTCTTTCACCTCAAAAAGGTAATTCACTGGTTTGATAATTTGTAACCGTTTTTGTGTAGTGAATTATTTGAGTAGTTCTGATTATGTACCCGTTATCTAAACTGTAAGAGGACACGGAAGACCTCCTGTGTTTTGCGAGCCATTTTTCCAATACACTTTTGTGAGTACAGCAGAAAACAAACTCAGTTGTTTCTTTTTGCCGTATCGCGATCCAGCGGGTATTCCTTCATATTCATCAGTCTTCAGCTCAAAATATTGAAAGAGGTTATATATTTCATTCATCGTCGTAATTTTTCATCATTATAACCTTTTCATCTTCTGCCTTTATGTCAGCAACCAGAAAACTCCAACTCTGAATAGTTTATAAATCATCTCAATCGATTTTCTTTGTCTATGGACTTATTTTGCATTCGTCCTCACGAAGTGTTTGCCATTTTCTAGCGTAGGAAGTTTGTGTATCAATTGGGGTACTCAACCAGAAAGCGTTTTCATACGAATGAGATGTCACTGTCTTTGCCGCAGTTTACTCACTGTTGTTAAGCGTATCAACTGGTCATTGCGAACAGAGCGTAACTTCAATGAACCGTAAATATACGATTTGAATAGATTTCACATTTTAATAAGACTTAGCTTCCTGCTGCGATACACAAAAGAGGTTTCTAGTCAACACAACACCCATACAGCTCCAAACAGTTTTCGACGCTACGCTCCAAGCGTAAGCGCGCCCTCCATGTCTGCAACTAAGATTTTAACTTTTACATCGTTAGTGCACTGCGGAGATTCCTTGTAAGATCTTTTTAATTACCCCGGTAATGTCTCTATTGAAATAGAATCTTACATTATGTTATTTTTAGCCCGCGGAAGAGTAAGTCTGCCATCTATGAGATCGCGCCAACTATCTGAAAAACGACCACTAATATCCCACATTCACAATTTTTTTCATTGCGGTTCCAAGATTTCTTTTTCCTCTTGTAACACTTTCAAATCTTGGTGTGTAACAAATATTTTAGGCATTACAATAACCTTGACCGCTTGGCTTGGAATCATAACTATTCAGCTATCATGCTTTCAATCGCACATGCTCAGTTCACAATTCAACGTTTTGTTTCGCCTGCCTCAAGTCTTTTTTTCTTTGAACTTTATAAGAGCGCTAAAAATTTTAGCTATGCGCCTGCCAAATGCGATTTTAAGATTCTTTTTAAAAGCATAGGTCATACGTTTGCACATAAATGGATTTTAATGTGAAATGCGGTTCAGCTTCTTTTGTGAAGTTTCATGAGGCGCTATTGTGAAAAGATCGAGTGCCAGGTGCACTGTATTCTACGGAACTAACACTCCAAAGCACAATCGATCTTTCAAAATTCAATATTTTGATTTCAGGTATTTCAATTTACCTTCTTCCTCAACGTCGGCGTTCCTGAATCAAATCAGCGTTGATCAATCACTTAAAAGAGTTTTAAAAGATCAAGAACTGCCAGTCATTAGCCAAAAAATCTACACTGATGTTGTTTTATTGGCGACCCTGTTGTGTTAGCCGCACTAATGCGGAGTAACTTTAACGATTTAGACATTTTTTGTACAAGAATTTTCACGATTTATTACGCCTAAAGAAAATATGCAACTTGTGGGACGTATGTCAGCTTAAGATGACAGAAAATAATTGCCCACCATGGAATATTTACCACCCCATAACGCCTAATTTCTTTATTTTTTCCGTTCGCAAGTAAAGCGGTCTCGATTTGTCTCTATCAGGTTATAAAATATTTGGCTTTAAAGGAAAAAAATTGTGATTACCACATACTAAATTGCACGCTGGGATTCTGATGGTAGTGTCTTCATAGCCTGTATTTAAAAACGTCATATAGCGCGCCAAACAAAGCCGGGCAGATTGTATCCTTTCAACTGTGTCCGGACTCCAAGTTTCCCGCTAAGTCTGTCTAAGGGGTCTAAAATCTTGATCCGTATTACAGATTACAAGAGATTTATGGCAGAATATAACTTGAACATGGCACTTAAATTGACGGTTTTTGCACACGTTCCAAGCGCTGCATTTTCAATTACTCGTATGAGTCCTATCCTGATGCAGACTTCACAGGGTTTTTCCCATAGCATCACTTGCTTTTTTGCCCAAAAGAAAGTCTTTTGTTCCACATCTCGTAGAAACAAAGGCGTGTTGAATAGTAAGCAGTTTGATAGAGAATTTTAAAGATAACTCAGCTGAAATAAAATTTAATGAGTGTTATACGCTGTACTAAGTCGATAACGAAAACTTTGAAATGAAGAAAACGTTAGAACTGATGATGAATTGTCTTGTATTTTATGATTATCTTGATCAACTTGCTGTTATTTAAATCAAACGAGAGTAACCGAATTGAATGGAAGGCTCGTGAATTTTCCGAAGAAGCGGTGTGGCATTCCCTACGTAAAATATGTTCATTACTTTCAACGACCTACAATCTGTGTCTATCATGATTTTGCTACTCGATAAAATTCTCCCTTTTACGCAAAGAGTTGCTCCTTCTCTTAGCTTACATCTTTCTCATCTTTGTCGAAAGCGTTTGATTTGTTCCTTTCTTTTTGAAGGGTTTAACCGAAATAGACTTGAGAGACTTTGGACATGTTTATTTCGAGCAGCTGCAATATTTGCGACTTCAAGCTCTGCAAGGTTTCAGGCGAGAGACTGGGAAAGCTTCTATATTGCAAATATACGGCAACATCAATTCCACCGAAAATGGATAAATCAGGTCTTGACAAGCCCCCGTGAAACCAATAAAACCAGTCATATCATCTATGAACTTGGCATTTTATGCTCCTACAATAATCGTCTTCCTGTTTCTAAAGTGACTAACAATTTCTCCTCACCCACGGCAAAAAATTTGACAGATGTGTTCATTTCAGTAAAACTACTGATTTCACGCATGCCCATGAAGTGCCTTGCCAGCGATAAAAAAAGGATTATAATTTTATTTCCATTACACACAACAAAAGCTGTTTCCTTTCTGGCCTCACTGATTATAAAAAGATGAGTGTGCAGGTGTACCAAGTAAGAATTAATTCTGATCCGGTATAATTTAATATTTTTCTTTTCCATCTGTCGAGTATTTGTGAATCTGTAGAAATTTAAGGGACAGTTTGAAACAAAACCCCGTAAAACTAGTAACATTTTAGAGATTATTGTCTGCTACTTGATTAAAGCAGAAATCGTTCTATTTGCAAAAACCGTCAGTCACAGCCTACTCAGATACTGTAGAACTCCAATGAGTTCTGCCATATAATGCGATATCAAAGGAGAGCCTCAGATACCAATCGCTTCTTCATGAGTGTTCTTCGCCAAAACCTTGCCAGATATCGATTCAAAATTTTTAGATATAGGAATCACGATCACGTCTTCTGCCATATTTGCGTTCTCACCGGAAAAATTCGCCTCTGTCAAAGACATATTTATCATATATGAGCTGCAAAGCACACTTTTACTCGGGAAGTGAGAATTCCACATCTTTCACTGTCTTTTTCCGAGAAGTGGAAGAGAAAGGGCTACTGATACTGACTTATCCCTGGTGGTGGAATATGCGACTACCGATTCCAAAGAGAAATACGAGGGTTTATCTCGCTAGGCCGGGGAGCGCCAATGTAACCGTAATAAAAGACCTGATACATGTAACAACATTGTCTGACCCTTCCTTTGCTCTCTAAGACCTGGAAAGAGCAACGGCACTATCCCACCCTCCCTCCCCTCTAGGACTTGAAACAAGCCACAGCATTATGTCAAACCTTCCCTCTCCCTTCTCCCAGTGGTTTGGACTTGTGGAATTTATTTACTGAGCTTAAGATCAATCGCTCTGACGCTCAAAACGTAGGCTTTAAAACTCTTTACGGTGGCAAATTTACGTTATCATTCAGTTGACATAACCAAATAACCTTGTTATACTCTCCCACCGACACAGCAACATAGTTTCTTTAGAAACTTACCCCCTTCATCAATTAAACAAGACAGATAACGTGTCTTTAGTAGGCGCTACCCACCGCTTGAAAGCTGTCTCCTTTCTCAGAGCTGCAATAATTTGCGGTTAAGTCATATTCCTTCCATAAAATTCATGGTAGCATGAAACCTTGATTATCCTTCTGTAGTGTAGCACAGGACAACTGATGCGTGATTGAACCGTTATCCCACTTCCATACTATCAAAACAACAAAAATGTGCGATACATTTCGCCTTGCAAAATGTCTTTCTTTAGGTATAAAATGAAAAATTTTTATTTAAAAGGTTAGTTTTATGGCCTGAGATAGGGTAGGAACTGGAAGGTTAAGAGAATTCATGAAGAAAACAGATAAAATGTGCTTAAAAAATCTCGTAAATCATAGTTGATTTCCAAAACTGCTCCTAAAATGAACCCCCCTTGTGGGAAGGCCGGAAATTCGTTGTTACGCGCCATTGAACGTATTTTCGAAAAACATGTTTACCAGACCTTGCCTATTAAAAGTATTTTCGATCAAAAATTGTATCTTAACTTCCTCATGGTGAGTTCGATGACGTCATCAAGTGACGTAACGAAGCTGACTGGTGTTCTTACTCCTGTGACGTAATCTCTGACGTGTCCTATTAAGTAGAAGAAGTAGTAAGGTCTTCGGGCAGATTTCTGGGGTTCCATCATCAATGGGAACAGCATCCTTATCTGGTGGCTTCACCAGATTGATAATGATGCCCCTTAGCGATCGTGTAATTTCTCCGTCAGATCTAAACAGAGATACTCCTCGATGAGCAGGGGAGTGTGCAGGAAAATTGGTTGGGAAATATGGTTGACTGAGGGCGTTTTCTTTTGAAAACAGTAGAAAGGTGGCAGAAGAATTACCTGGATGTATCAAAAGCTTGACATTAAAAGAGTCCTGCACGGTAATTATGCACAACTAACGATAAAGCTTCCTCTTCATATCCAATGAACAGAGAATGCCCCGTAAACTTATCTTGGAGAGAATAACATTTTAGAGACAAGTAAAACATCTGAGTCATTTGTCTGCAATATATTTGCACACGGAATCGCGAAGTCCATCGCTTGAATATTAAGAGCGTTCATCAGTTCTACAACCCCTCTGTACAGTTAATCATGTTTTAATTTGCTCGAACTCATGTATGAATATAACAAACAAAAACTTTTACAAAATGGTTTAGAGACAGATGGAAAGTGGACATGAAATTTTCAGGTACAAATCGAAACGTGTTACTGGTGGGAACCGACAAACACGCGTGCAAAGAATCTTTGATCTCTTTACTTGAACATCACTCTTTTTGCATTCCCAAGGCTGATCGTCTTCAGGGGAGTGAAAAATTTAAACGCCATTCTCTCCAAAAATTCCTTGATGGTCTTTTAAGAGAATAGTTTAGTGTGAAACCAGCAAATATCTCATGAAAGCCAAATTATCATATTGTTTTCGACGCTTTGCAGTTCTGTCAAAAACACTCTTTTCAAACAACCCGAGCGTGACGTAAACAAGTGCATTTCAACTCATGAAGAAAGTTGACGTTTTTAACTTTTTTCCCCGACAATTAAGCTATATCGAATTCAGGAAACTTATTTTTTGTTACTTAAACTAAACTGTAGTCAATCGGAACGTAAAGTAGCTGTGATCGTTCAAAGACCGTTGAAGGAACATGCTCTGCTCTCTCACTAACCCCACCCGAGTTCCATTCCCTCCTCGTGGGCACCGGAAATACCACGCCACGCACTACTTCTCTTCAACAGAACTTGTTGTTCGACTGAGACAAGAGCTGAAAAATGCTTTGAAACCCACTCTGGAAATTTCAACTTGAAAAGTTTAACTTAGAAGCGAGTACGGAACATGGCTGTTACGATAAAGGCGACACATTGTTATCAAGAAGAGAATGCATGTGTTCTACCTTAAGAAGAGT